TGTTTTTTGAAGTTGAAGAATCAAAAGCTGTTGTTGGAAGAGCAATTAAAGTACAAGGATATTGCTGAAAAGCAACTGAATGAAAAGCTTGAGATGAAAAATAACAAGTTGTTGTTGTTGGAAGAGCAATTAAAGTACAAGGATATTGCTGAAAAGCGACTGAATGAAAAGCTTGAGATGAAAAAAAACAAGTTGAAGAAGAAAATTGAAGAACTGGAGAGGAAGTTGAAGCTTGAGAGGAAGTTTGTTATGGTTCTATTGATTTGTGTCTTTTTAGCTGTGTTTAGGATTAATAGAATTTTTCCTAATGGTAGTTTGATGTTGAATTAGAGAATTAATCTATGTTTCTGTTGCTTTGTGTCTTTCTAGTTGTGTTTAGGACAATGAGGGTTTGATGTTGTAATGAAGTATCTTCTTTTTATCTTATTTTATGAAAAAGAAAAGATCTTATGAATTTGTGATGATTTCAGTGATATTAATCTTACAAAAATGTACCTGCTAATATGGATATAAAAACCATATTCAACTTCAAACATTAGTTTGTGGAAAGCAACAAACTAATGAGTTTGTACCTGCTAATTGTACCTGGAATTTGGCAGCCTGAGCATTGAATTGTGAAAGCAAAAAAAACTGTATTCAACTTCAAACATTAGTTTGTGGAAATGAGAAAAAAAACTGAAAGCAACTTCAACTGCATTCACCATTAACCATCACTGTTTAAGGAAATGAGAAAAAAACTGTACAATGAATATATTGAACACCATCACAAACTACTGAAATTAAAAACCATCACCATCACAAACATTAGTTTCTATTACAAACAAAAGTATCCAAAATAGGCAAATCCCAAACAACATTATAGTCTAATAATTTCAAAAGGACACTCCAAAGGGACAAAGTATTCAACTTCAAACAACACACATCAACTGAAGCCAATACACAATAATTGTCATACATTGCAAATCCTATTCAACTTCAAACTGATGACCTAACATCTAAGAACTATTTGGCCACACTTTCTTGTGTTCCTGCATTGTTTTCAACAGTTCTGATCCTTTTGTCACTTGACATCTGAAAATGAATGGCAAGAGTATTAGTTAACTAATTTTTCAAATTACTAAGTAATTGACTAGAATTAAGAAAAAATATCAACCCTTATATAAATGTTGCCTGTTTCTGGTGAA